GTGTGTGTGTGTGTGTGTGTGTGTGTGTGTGTGTGTGTGTGTGTGTGTGTGTGTGTGTGTGTGTGTGTGTGTGTGTGTGTGTGTGTGTGTGTGTGTGTGTGTGTGTGTGTGTGTGTGTGTGTGTGTGTGTGTGTGTGTGTGTGTGTGTGTGTGTGTGTGTGTGTGTGTGTGCACTGTCTAGTGGTAGTTAGCCCTAGCCCGACCAGGCTGTGCGACGGATTGTCTATACAGGTCTATACGGCATATACAGGTCTACGGTCTATACAGGTCTATACGGTCTATACGGTATTCTAACCCTAGCAATACCGTTTCTTGGAGCTAAGGTAGCCATAGCTATTTCAGTAGCCGACTACTGTAACGCTAGAATTATTCGGATCGTTAATATATTGATTTAGAAAATAGCAGGATAGCCTAGCTGTTTCGCTAAGAAATGACCCCATTGGCATTGCATGTGAACAACCACAAAACGGTCAAGCCTGCGCACACGTACATTGCTTTAGAACTCTACTACTCTACTACACTGTATAGGCCTACTCATTACTCTACTCGACCCAACACAGTCTTCATCACAAATATAACTTTATAAGACAACTACTTGAACTAGGCCTAGTTTCTAAACAATAAGTTAACACAGATCACACGTACTTACCAATTTCTATTGATGAACACCTTCACACTTTACGTCTTGGTGGCAGACTTTACTTTGGCGAGGTCTCCGATCGGGACTAGGTGAAACGGCGTTGCTTTGTGACGGAGTAATCGAACCTTTGCCGCTTGCTTCGCGCGTTTCGTTTAGATTTCGCGGGAAAGTGACGTCACGGCATTCTAACCAACCGGCCACGAACAAAGACTCCGCGACGGGTGTTGCTATCCCCGGGCCAAACTCCACGACAGATGGCGCTCTCGCTCATGGGCTCAATCATTCTCACCACAGAGATCACGTGACTATCGGCTCATATCTCTGATAAAGTGGGCACAGAAATGTCATAAAAATGACATTTTTAGACAAACAGGGTTTCTAAGTAAAATAATGCCTTTGTTACATTTCTAATGTTTCAGTAAGATGTCACCGTCATTTAAGAAACACAGTAATTGGCAATAACTAACTGTTTTTATTGTTTTTTCACCAATAATACTTGGAACTATTTTTTCTGTAGTAAGTCGTTCGAACATGGCGATGTCAATAAACAGAGATTTTCCGGCGCTGATTAAAACGGTTCTAAATAACTATGTTACAGGGTTCAATTTGAAGCCTAAGCAGGTGGAATGCCTCAGTATTCTGACCGAGAAGGAATGCGATCTGATAGCCTCT